AATTGAAGAATTGCTAGGAAGGACTTGTGAAAATCGAAATAACTTGGAATATAGCTTTCTTTCAGAGCAAAGGGGGGGAAAGCCTAACACTTTATATTCTAAATGCTTTTTATACATGCAGTAAATGATATTCCTATTCTTGAATTATCTTCAGCCAACTGGTTTGGATTCTCAGAAACTGGTATTAATTTAAATCCGTGCGTCTTTAATTGTATATGTTGTTGTACAGCAGATAAATTGTGGTTTTTGATACATAATCATTCTTTGACATCCTGGGTGCTACTAATTTAAATAACGCCTCTACAGTACGTAGGAGAGGTCACTTCCTGTAGGGCGCTCATGGCATAACTTCACTTAAAGATTCAACTATATATGCCAGATTACCCATGTTTTGGTGGGATACGCCTTATTTTTAACCAAATATTTACTGATTTTCTTTTACCTCTGTCTGACCAAAGCATTTCTTAGCCGAATACACTTCAACGCAGCTTAAAGGTCCAGTGTGTCTTTTTTTTGTCACCAAATATGTCCCGTTTAAATCCAGTTCAACATAGTAGTAAAGCAAGTGCCTAGCTATAAGCACGTGGGTAATCCCATGGAAATCAAACAGGGTGCCCATGCGGTTAAACACCTTGCCGAATCAATGCCTCAAAAGCCTTTTCAAGTCTGGCTAACCAGTGCCAGGTCAACGCAGGTGATGGTAACAAGGGGCATCAGGTCACACAACTGTCAGTAAAAAGGCATCCGTTAGGTATGCTGCTTTTCCAGAGAACTGAAACCACTTCTCTGAGCAGAGGCCGTTTTTATTTCAGTGTATCTCCAACAGCAGGCGTGTGGCATGATGCCTCTTCACTGGTGTCCATTGAGGGAGTCTGTAGTGCTTCAGCCGACACCTGAGTGAAAGTCTCCAGTGCTTTAGGTTTGTTTGGTTGTGCATTCTACATATTTAGGGCCAGTTTATATATTTGCTTTTTTCTATGAAAAACGATGTATTTTACTACTTCTTTTGTGCAAAAGTTTATTGTAATTTGGGGGGTTTTTTTGCATGAGCTTTAAAAGGGCCATGTTTTTTGTTTGTAAAACTCTTCATTTTTCTAAATGCAGAACTGTAAAATAGCTTTTTGGTTGTTTCTGAATTACTTGTGAAATAAAACTTTTAAGGAATAAAAAGTCATGGTTATAACATTTAATCCTTTTTTGGGGGTTTTATTGAGAAGGATGATCCTGGGCTCCTATTTGGGTTAAGCTAGCACTAAAGATCCCAACTGAGTTTAGGTCACACCGAGTGCCTTGCAAATGGGATGGTTGCTCACCGTGAATTGAAACAGGGATATCCAGAACTAAAAGCTTGATTCTCTTCAGCTTGAGCTAAGCTAGAAGGCTATGTAGCTGGAAGTAGGGCTGTGCGAAGCTTTGGTAGCTGATTTGCTGTGGAGGAGATTTGTTCTGATTCGGGGACCAAATCTCCAAATCTGAATCAAATCAGGAGACCAATTAAAAGCCCTGAATCGATTCGAACCATCCAAATCAATTTGGAAAAGATTCGGCCATAGATTAAGCAGGCGGCTGACACAGCTGCCTCCAGCTGGTAAGTCTGTTGGGGTTGGGGGAGGAGGGAGGGAAAGGAGATGGGGGAGGGAGGGTTTGGGGCTGGGGCTGGGATGAGCTGCTCAGCCAGGGCAGGAGGTGTGGGACTTGGGGAGGGGGGTGGGGGGATGTAGGATGTGGGGGGAAGTGGTAGCAGGGCATAGCCCCTGCTCACAGCTCGGCAGGGCCTGCATCCCATGCTCTCCTGTGCTGGCTGGCAACTGGTGACAGTGCCTTGCCCCCTGCACCCACCCCGGCTGGGGCTGCATCCCGTGCTCTCCTGTGTCACCTGGGCAAG